CACGTGGCAACGGTCAAGTACTTGGTAATCTGGCTGCTGCAAGCAAAAGAGCTTAGTCATTCCTTTGACTATATGTCATGAATCTGCTAAATGTAAAAATATATAAGTAATCAATAACTGATCACGGATGGACTCAGCAGAAATGGCCGTTCCACTTGTCAAAGGCAAACTCCCTCACCTACTTTGTTATCTGAAAATCCGAGAAAGCATTTGGTACCAAAGCTCATTTTATTTGGTATGCTTGGACTGAAGGACATCAATGGCATTCGTGACTTCACCTCTCATTTGCAACAAACATTTCTCCAAAATTCATCGAAACTGTTGTTTGTTGATTCCGACGATTGCTTGAATAGCAACAGATTCTCCGCAAAACTACCAAGAATCAAGGCAAGTCGAATTTTGCCCAGCAGCAGCCTACCACGAATGTTTTATTCAAAAAGGCATAACACTATCATTGTGTGGTAATTCAAAGTTTCGAAAATAATCAAACTTACAGAACGAGCAGTGAGGTTCGTGATATTCAGAAGACACTCGAATGGCGGTGCCTGTGCGATGAATCCCATGATTAGCATCTGAGAGGAGAAGAGTAAGCCCGGTGCTGTGATAAGCAAATATGAACGCATCTAAAACCAAGATAATCATCGAACACGATCTAAATCGCGAAGGATTCTGTCCTACACCATATTTTACAGGGCGGGAGAGCGTTGAGAGATCCGGTTGAGGAAAACGTAAATTCAGTTCCGGTGAATCTGATAATCATAAATCATTAATTAAGCTGCCTGTGGTTTTTTTGTATTAACTTTCTTGGCTTGCTGGTAGTTAATCAGGGTGGGAAATCCTGCTTCTTCTTCTTATCTTCTTTTGCACTATCTAGGCTTTTTATTTCATAAGGCACGTCAAAGTTTTGAGTACGTAAAAGAAACTCAAAATGCTAAAACTTTTGATGTGCAAAACCACAAATTCTGATCCAGTCAGGTAGAAAGACAACTTCTGCAGTGCTGTTCAGAGCAATTGGAAAAGTTGTCAGCTTTACAGCTGCTAAATCTGACTGTGAACTGTCGCTGAACAAAGCACCAAAATAATTCCTGTACGTATAATTTTGGCGAATAAAACCACTGTGAAACTCCTACAATACAAGATGGTCCTTTAGAATAAAATTAGTTAGTACAAAACACAAAAGAGAAATGTATTTCTCTATCGAACAAACCTGATACTTGCCATATTTTCCAAACGCGCTTAGCAATCTTTCCGGATCGAGTTGCGTTTCAGTTACTTTTATTGCTGCTGTTGATGGAGCATCCGGAATATTCTCTTCATCATTGGGCGCCTCTTGCCCTGTTTTTGAATGTTCGTCGTATGCATTTTCGGCTGCAGCCACATCTCTTTGTTCACTCATTTATCTGTATGTCCTGGAAAAAATGCGCCACCAGAATTTCTGCACTTCGCTGTAACATATTATAGGGCGAATTTCTAGGAAGCACTGGACAAGCTAGGATTTGTGCGGAGGAAATCTTGTCCAAATTTCCTTGTTGCTTGTCCTGAGACGCGAAACGCTCGTTTACATTCCATTGACCGATAGCATTTTAACGGTACAGTAATCAATTGTTTCGCCTCTAAATTGTCCCGAAAATGAGATGCGCCTCTAAATTGTCCCGAAAATGAGATGCTCCTCTAGCGCTCAGGATGTGCCACTGTCAAATTTTCCCTCTCTAGCTACAATTCATTATCCTACAAATATGAATAGATTAAAAATATGAAAATGTTACGAGCCTAAAGATAACTTTGGAAAAGTGTGCAAAAGGCAACAAGAGTAGGCCAGTTTCTTAAAAAAAAAAAATCTTAAAAAAAATTCACGCTCCCTTAATTTAAATTCGTTAACTCTGTAGGTTTTTTGGATGCAAATATTCAAGTGTACGCAACTTGATGAATCTCAGAAACAGTCAAAAAGATTATGCAGCTGCTACGCAAAGCACTTTGCAATGTAATAGTAACAGAAACGATAGTAATCCTCAGAGTCCTTGAAAAAAATTCCAAGACTCTCAAACAGCTTTCGAAATTCCATAAATAGAACTATGGCCAGTTATGGAGCGAAGTTTTTGGAAATCTCGATAACGCAGAACGTCGGTCCATTAATACCCACGCTGACTGCCCAAGGTCTTAGACTTGGTATTTTTAATAACTTCTAACTTCTGAACCTTGCGTCCTTTAATTTTCACAAGAACGCACGATCGAGCGAGCTCCCAGTGCAAGCTACTACTTATTTTTAGGGCCTGCTACTAGGAAGGCAACATAAAGAGTAAATTTTGATTATCTCTGTATTTCCACTATTTTCGCATAAAAATTGTTGAATGACGGATGAAAAATTAAAAATTTCAGCAATTTCAATAATTCTCAGTAATTTCTTGAAAAATAACAGTTTAGCAGGCATTGCGCAAAGAGTTCCTCACTTGTTTGTGCAGTCCCCAGATCTGCGAAGCTGTAGTTTGTCAGCGCTTAGAGCCTAAATCCTCCGGAACACGAGGGTCGGTTATCGAGCGCTACTGTAATGAAAATTTTGTTGCTTTTGAAATGTAACATAATTATCTTTCCTGAACTACCGAACCGCCCAAAAACCTGTTCGGCTAGTGATCCCTCAACAAAACACGCTCAATTTGTAGTGAAATGCTCGCACTGTGTGCAGTAAACTGTCGCGCTAATCAACAGCAGATAACCTCGAACACCTGTACAAGTGAGCGGATTAAAGTAAAAACGGCTCAAACAAAGCAGATGACTAGCCTTTCTGACATTAAATAAACAGACAACAAGCCTGCTTAGCATTGTTTATATCTGCTTGCTGCTCTAACACTTACTTGCGCCAGGTGCAAGCGCATTTGGCCCAAGCATATTTGATGCGAGTGTTATGAACAGCAAACCTGCGCAAACACAGCAAGAAGCTGAGGGAGGAGGGGAAGAGAAAAAGACACTCAGCATAAAAATAACAAAAAATGCTTAAACATTTATCCACATACGGACCGTAGATGCGAAATAAGTTTTCGCATACTTCTGTGTCTTGAAGTAAACGTACCAGTGGCAAAAAGAAAAACCCAGGCTGCAAAGCACCACTCCTGCCGATGCTATAATGCGTTTTGCGCTAAACTCGCAGACTGTTAAAAAGAGGAACGGTTCCAGCACTGTAGTTTAAAGCTTAGACTCACATTGGCTGTGTTTTGGCCTTTCCCCGCATGCAAGGAGAAAAAGGGCTTTTGAGCTTGCGATAAAACTGAGTAATTGTCAAGTCAGCGTACAGAAAATTTCACCTCCAAGCTAAGACCATACGCGAATATGGGGTATTCTTGTAAAGTTTCAACTTTGCAGCTTGTTTGGTAGGTGAAATAGTCACTTCGCTATATCTTTGAGGCGCCTAAAGTAGTAGCGCAAGTGTAAATCGAAACTCAGTTCGGGCATTCGATTTCTATACAAATAATAAATATTCTGACAAAATTTCAACTACTATTTCCTGGTTAGTTTCCGAGTTAAGACAGTGCTAGCACTTCTTAATTCGAATTTTAACGTGACCGATGCGCAGTATAAGAGGGTGCGATAGCTGAATTTGAAATCTTTAGCTTATACACGCGCAGAAAATTTACCTGAAAAGTTCCAGCTTTTTGTCTTGCCTGACTCACGAAATTGTTTGCCGCCAAAGAGATTTGAATACTTCTTTTGGGGGGTCCGTACGCAAGACATAGGCGCTTACAAACAAAAATTTTAAAACGGCAGGATGACAAATGGGGTGGGAACATCACCCCAAAATTTCAGTCTTCCAGCTTCCCTAGTTGCTGAATTGAAAGACAACGTTCACTCGCTTCCAACATACACACATGCACAACCTTTCGACAATATGTGTTTTTGCTCACTGTAGCAGCACTATAGCGCTACACAGCAAAAACGCATGAAAAAGATTTTCTTGCAATAAATTAATCATTATTATCACTAATTCGACCGCAACTAAATTTCTCCTGTGTTAAAAAATCGTGTTTTTTTTTTAAAACAAATCAGGAAAAATGGGACTAAAAGGAAGAAGGAGGCAAGGCGGAGAGGTAGAAAGGCAAGAATGAGGGGAAA